CAGCTTGAGACACTGGGCTCTTCCCAGAACGTTAGGTAGCCCGGTGGTACGAGCGACCCCCTTAAAAGCGGGGGAGACCCCACTTGGATTCTCTTCTGTCACAACAGAGCGCCTGCGGGCACTTTTTGGGTACCCACCGTTCTGTGCCCCACTTCACGGCGTGCACCAAAGGGGAACAGCATCGCTCCGCTGTGCCAAGGCACTGGCAGGGCGTCATCCCAAACTGGGCATCTCCCTGCTGCTCTGGTAGCAGCATGTGCTGGGCCGTCCCTGTCCCGCTGCAAGGCACCAACCAAGGTGCCAAAGCCTCAATGAGAAGAAACGGGGACAGTGAACCTCAGGAGTGGCAGCAGGCAGAGCCGCCAGCATGGCCCAAACCCACCCATAACCCTCCAAACATTAGGAGATCTTAATTTTGGCCACCCCCCTCCCCAAACTCTCCGCAGCATCACTCACCATCTGCATGGGAGCGGGGCAGCAGTGGAAGTCCCAGTAGAAGGGCAGTCCTGAGAGCTCGCTCTTCACGTGCAGGCTGAGGCCACCGGCAACGTGGTGGCAGGAGAAGGAGGTGGCAGTGCCCGGCTGCCCCTCCAGCAAGGGGGACATCAGGTTGCGCAAGCGGTGCAGGAAGGAGGACACGTGCACCGTCAGCCGCTTGTTCAGCTCCTGAGGAAAAGCAAGAGTAGGGGTACAGCTCAGCACTGGGAAAAAAAGCAGCAGAAGCTCCAGCACAGAAGGAGCCAAGCTATTTCTGCATGTCCCAGTGCTGCAAAAAGCCACCCCTGGGCCTCCAGCTCCACAACAGGACATTCCCCACTGGTTCTCCCAGCCAAACTGGGAAGACACCCCTGCCCAGAGTGGTGGGCAAGGTGCAGTGATCTCCACTAGTGTTTCTGCCCCGCATGCCACCATGAGTGTCACAGGCTGGTGGAGAGCTGTCACAGCTCAGCTAGAGGTGGGGAATGGCTGCTACCTGTGCCACCAGCTGCTCAGCACAGCCGCTCTGTGACAGAGGGACACAGCACGTAGGTGGCACGTTGGGGCCTGGGCACACCAGCCCAGGAGTGTGGCAATGAGGCATGGCACCATGTGTTTTGGGGGCCATGCTGACAGGACACCCCATGGGAGCCTGTGCCTGGCTATGAAAGTGAAGAGGAGTCTTCTCCATCACTGGTAGGAAGGCAGCCTGGCTTCAAGCTCGCCCTGAGTACGCTGGTCTTGGGGAAACCAGCTGCCCATCCAGCCCACAAGTGAAATGAGTGTGCTGGCCTCAGCCTGCAGACCCAGTGAAGACATTACTGCCCTAGACACACTAAACAGCCTGCCCCACTCTCCCAGGAGGAGGGTGCTAGGCCAACCGGGGTGACAGTGTTTGGGCAGAGCCACCCAGGGACTTCCCAGGCCAGGTGGTTGCACCCGAACCCTGTCAGATCCAACAGCCGTTGTGTCACCAAGCAGTTTATGCTGGAATATCAGCTGCTGCCAGGAGAAAAGGAGGTCCCTGGACTTTCCAGACACTCACCTTGGACCTTTGCTCCACGACCTGGACGTCTGCACTCTCGTACCAGACGCTGCTGAGGTCGGAGATCAGCAGGATGTAGCCAGTATCCCCGAAGCAAGCTTTGGCAAGAAAAGGGGACTCGCCAAAGCAAACAGAAGCCCAGGGCTGTGTCAGGAGGCTGCTCTCCAGCTCCTCGCAGCCCTCCATCTGCAAGACAGCAATCAGGCCTCTGCCTCAGCCCCCCGCCCAGGAAGACCCCGGTCCCTGCCGGCCCCTCCCTGGTGCCAGCCCCACCTCGCAGCCCAGAGGTGAGGATGCTCAGCCAGCTCTGGTCACACACACGTCCCTGCACATGCCCGCAGCCCTGTTGCGGGGGGGGGGGGGGGGGGGGGGGGGGGGGGGGAGGGGGAAAAAAGGGTGCTTTTGGGGGAGCTCTGTGCAGGGCAGTTCCTCCCCCAGCTCACCACAGCCACCCCAAATGCACCCGCAGACACCGGGCAAGGTAACTGCTGCCTCCCCGGTGCTTGCTAACGCTAAGGCAGGGAGACCTCTGCGTGCAGGTTAATGTTTAAGCCGCCCAGGTTGCAGCAGGCCGGGCAGCAGGGCGCCGCAGCCCTTCCTCCTGCTCCCGATCCCCCGTCCGGTGACCCGCGGGAGCCACACACCGGCAGAGCCAGCGCTGCCGCTTCCCCGTCCTCCCTGCCGCAGGGACGGGCGGGGGGGACACCCGACCTCCCCCCCAGGGAACTGGGGGCTCTGGGAGTTACCCGAGGGCAAGAGGAGCAGGCAGGCCAGCAGGCTGGTCCCCCTTGCGAGGGGGCGAGAGGGGGGCTTTGGAGAGGCGAGCGATGGCGGGCCGGAGGCGAGGGGGCCAGACTACAACTCCCAGCATGCTGCTCGCTTCCGCGGCCTGCGGGGCACGCCGGGATGGATGCGTAGCACCGCACGCCGCCATGGGCCGCCCGCACGGGGAAACGGGGCACGGCCAGCGCTTCCTCGGGGAGACACTGGTCCTGCTCCCTCCTGGAGCTCGGCTGCCGCACCCCAGTGAGCCCCACATAGCTGGGGCTGTGGATGCCATGCCCAGGGGACTGGGGTCACAAGACACCGCAGGGGAGGGCTGTGCCAGCCTGACAGGGGCCATGGATACCGCACCCCCACCTCCAAGCCCTCCAATCTTCCCCACAGACCCCCGGGGCACTCACCTACCCACATCATGACTACCAAGCCCCACCTGCACCCCAGACATCGAGGTCATCCATTCTGCAGCCACATAATGTCCCACCCCATTCGCACTCCATTCACCCCCTCTCCCTATCACAAAGGCTGCAGCCACCCTCAGGGCAGGGTGGTCATCTCACAAGGTTCACCTCCCAGGGGGGTGCCAGGGGAGGTGGGAGCAGGCAGGGGCTTTGGGCACAGCTGGAGCGCGGGGCCAGGTTGGGGTGCTGGGCAGGGTGTTACACCCCAATCCCACTGGGTGCACAGGGGCCAGCTGTAGGGGATCACAGGCAGCTGGGGAAAGGGGGCTCACACCTGGAACCTGCCTACACAGTGGCACCACATCCCCCCCAACCTCTGGGTGTGCAGGACCAGGTGGATGCACATCACTCCTGCGGACCAGCTCCATTGTCCTCCCAGCCCAAGTTCATCCTTCCTTTGAGCTTGCACCACCCAAGGGTTGCAAAGCCCCAGCCTTTCCTACCCCCCTGTTGGGGTTTTGCAGGCCAGTTCAAACTGGTGGAGGCAGCACAGGGCTCTGCTTGTGGACTCTGTTCTGTTCTAAACAGTGGAGCAGGGCTGGTGCAGACCCTGCTGGAGTCAGCATAAACAAGAAGCAGTGGGAAAGGGGGGGTTCAAAGGCAATGTTTTCTTGCCCAGAGAACCGCTGCTGGCTGGTTTAGCACCAAGAGCAATACCTGAGGGGCAGGTAAGAGTTGAGCACTCCTGGGATCAAGCTGCTGCAGGTGAAAGGGGGTTCACTGATTTAAGGAATTGACCTGAACTGCAGCCCCAGCCTGGAGCACCCTGATGTGACAGAGCCAGGGCATTAGTCTGCACCTGGTGCCACAGGCACCAAGGGGCCATGGACACAGCTGGGATAAGGCAGTGAGGAGAGGGAGAGCCAGCCCTTCTCAAGCACAGTGCCGGATTGACCAGAGACCAAGGCAACAGCCCTCGGGGGCTGGCCAAAGCACTGAGCCTTCCCTGATCATGTCCCTAGATTGATGGTGGGCTTTAGGGGCATCCACATCCTCAGCTGCAGTGGCCATAGCCTCTGTGGTCACCATCCGCAGGGCACCCACCATTGCAGGGCGCCTGGAACCTCCCAGGAAAATCCTGGCTGGAAAGAAAACCCCTGGAAAGGGCAAAGGTGGTTGAAAGGTTTTTATAGCTCACTCCCAAGCAGGGAAATGAGGTTTGTGCTGGGAGTGTAGAAGTGGAGGTCCCTCCAGTCCATGTGGGCTTTGGAAACAAATAGCAAAGTGGCTTGCAAGCTGCCTTGTGGGGAGAGCACAGCCCCAGTCCCCCATAAGCTGTCCTCATGCTGTGGGGTCAGGCCACACTCTGCCATATGGACATCTCCATCTCACTTGTCCTCCTGAGTGGCTGTGGCTCCCCTGAGCCAGGTCTGGGGAGCAGATGTGTCCCTTCCCCTGGGGCAGCAGTCCCCTCCTCAGGGTCATGGCTGCCCTCCTCTTCTTCCTCCTCCTCCTCTTCCTCGCTCCCTGGGCAGAGGAAGCAGCAGGGGAAGGCTTTGCAGGAGGAAGGCAGCAGCCTCCTCAGTCCAGCAGGGAGCTCATACACCTGGCTGGCTTCCCCCCTCTCTCCACGGGGTCGGCGAGCACCTGCCCCAGCTTTCAGCAGCATCAGGTCAGAGAGCAGCCCTCGCTCCTCCAGGGTTCCTGCAACCAGGATAGTGGGCAGTGAGATAAAAGCCCCTTCCTCTGGCTGTACCATCCCAGCCCAGCACTGGGACCCCCAGGAGAGCCACCCAGAGACAGAGCTGGTGGTTCAGGGATGATCCCGTGGCCAGATGCATCCCCTAGAGCACAGGCTCGTGCAGACACGCTGTAACATCCCCTCACCTGAGACCGTATTCTCCATGAAAAATGACAAGAAGCCAGTTAAGAAGACAGGCATCATGAGCAGGGAGAGGAAAAGGAGGTCCAGGGGCACCCAGCCTGCAGGGACAGTGCCAGAATCACCCAGGACATCCTAGCCCAGTGGCGGAAAAGGCGCAGGAGCTGCTGCAGCAGGTTCAGGGGTTGGAGAGGCAGCTGCCTGCTGTCCTACACCACCCCAACCTCCCAGAACATGGGAGATGTGTGGTCACCATGCCACAGGGCCCGAGGCTTTGCCTTGCCTGGGGAATGTCCCCACTACCTGTGACCAGGTGAGCCGGAGATGCGCTGAGCCACCGCGGCACCAGCAGCGCCATGAACATGGCGAAGCCGACAATGAAGATGTTCCTCCCCGAGTCGATGTCCGCGTACTGGAAGTAGGAGATGCCCGTGCCCACGGCCACGGCGTAGGTGACGCAGAGCACCCCCCCTGCGAGGGGCAGGAGTCAGGCAGCGGCAGGCAGGCAGGCTGCGGGCACCGCAGCGCAGGGGAAGGGCAGGGTACCCACCGTGAACTGCCAGGGGGATGCGGGTGAGGAGCCCTGCCAGCCGCGGGGACAAGCCCAGCACCACGCATGCCAGGGCGCTTATTTGCACTGAGAAGCGAGAGCCAGTCTGGGGGAGAAGAGGATGGGGAGAAAGTAAGGATGGGGAGAGTCACCTCCCCACTTTATCTCCCCCACGGTGTCCCATGGATGTGCCTTTCCCAGCTCTGGCTCAGTGACAGCCTGGGTGCTACAGGTCCCCCACACCTCCTGGCTCCACTGTCTCCCCATCCCTTGCCAGCCTTCCTCCCCCCACCCCGGGCATACCTGTGTGAGGCCGGTGGCGCAGGCGTTGGCGATGCTGGCAGCGGTGCCCCCCGGGGTGCCCAGCAGCCCTGCCAGGAGGCTGCCCAGCCCTTCCATGCAGAGCCCCCGGTTGCAGGCGTGGGAGGGCAGCCGGGGGGCTCGCAGCAGCCTCCCGCACAGCACGTAGCAGCCCACCGAATTCATGCTGCAACCGATGGCCATGGCGATGCCCACTGCCAGTGCCCGGGGGGTGAACAGCGGCCACCCCCACTCGCCTGCAGCGGAGGGAGAGGGGATGGGTGACAGGGGCCCTGGCCAAAGGCAGATGGCCGCATCCAGCCCTGCTGCCCCCCACCTGCATAGGGGATGCGGAGCCAAGGGGCATGGAAGGTGCTGTTGGCCCAGGACAGCTGTGCCATGGCCGGGTCCAATGATTCCCAGGGGATGTGGAGGTGGCTGAGGATGGCACAGATGATACAGACAACAGCAAACGAGAGCAGTACCTGCAAGGCAGCAAGGAGAACCTCATTAGGGGACCCTCCTCCCTTGCCTGTCCTGACCAGCATCCCATCTGCTCTACCCCAGACAGAAGGTCCTTGTCCTGTCACCTCTCCCAGGGAGCCATGCCACATCTCCCCTCACTGCTGCAGGGAGCATCCCAGGCTCTGCTGCTCCAACACGCTTGAGTGCAGGTCCCCTGTGCTCCCCCAGCAGCACCCACACCATGGGAGCAGCACCAGGACTTCTCACCCCTGCCTCTGCTCCCAGCACCCAGCTCTGCTTGAAGGCCACCAGGTCCCACCTAACCCCACATCAAGGAGCCGGGCACAGCGGAGGGAGCAGGGGAAGACAAGCCACAGTACCGAGAATGTGCGCAGGGTGGGGACAGGCAGCTCCATGGAGCTCCCCTGGGCCTGGGGCCAGGTGCAGAAGGGCAGGTGGCAGGACCGTAGGTGTTGGGAGAAGGTGACAGCAAGGAGCATAAGCCTAGGAGAGAGAGCACAGGTCACCACACAGCATCGCAGTGGTGGGGCCCCAAACATGTGCTGTGCACCAAGGGGATGCCCCTATTCCTGTCCCCATGGTGAAGGGAAGCCACGAGAGCTGCACATCAACATGGCCTTTGGGCTCACATACAGCAGCGCTATTCCCCAATTAGTGGAGCAGAAGAAAGCAGCCTCCTTGTATGCAGACAGCCCGATGATGGAGAGGCTGGGGGCCAGGACCATGGGCCCGCAGTGCTGGGCTGCCCACCCACACACTCCAGACACTCCCAGCACCAGCTGAACCAGCCCAGAGACCAGCACGGCTCCAGAGACCTGCAGGAGGAAAGGATGCCCAGAGAAGTTGCGGATGTCCCATCCCTGGAGATGTTCAAGACCGCTTTGAGCCACCTGGTCTAGTGGGAGGTGTCCATGCCCATGGCAGGGGAGTTGGAACTCAATGATCTTCAAAGTCCCTTCCAACCCAAACCATTCTATGCTGGGACCTGTGGGACGGGTACACGGAGAACAGCCCAACAATCCCCCTTGGCCACACTGCCACTGCCCCAGTAGCATCGCTTGTTCCCCATGCTCCACTCACCCCAGTCCCAGAAGAACATGTGTATCACAATCCCCATTGCCTTTGCACATCCCCTTATGTCTCCCCTATTCATGGCAATCCCCAGGAGGGCCAGGAAAGAGAATACAGGTGACAACTGGGGTAGTGGTGGTGGATAGGGACCCCCAGCCCAGCATAGGAGCACCCACCTCTTGCAGTGGGGCAGCCTGGCTCCCTGCGATGGCACAGTGTGGTGCAGGGCATGTGCTAGCCACGGTGGTGCCTGGAAGGGAATTTCAGAGGGAGGTGATGCACGGGGATGCTGGCCTCCTGGAGCTGAGTCCAAGAACATGCAGTCCAGGGGCTGCTGGCTGGAGAAGGGCCAGTGTACCAGCATCCCCAACCCCATAATATCTGGGGGAGGCTGCCTCAGGCATATTAGAGGCCACAGATCTTGTTAGGTGGCACAGGACACACTGCAGGTGCACTCAAGGGTGAGTAGGGTGCTGTGCACCATCACCAGAGGGGCCAGCAGGCAGGACCCCCCCATCCCTACCCCATGCACCCCCTCACCACCGTTCCCCTCACACTGGCACAGCCTGGGCCCCACAGGACACAAGCTCTAGGGCTGTGCTCACCGTTCCTGTCCATGCTGGCACCAAGGGAGAGGTGGGAGCTCAGCACCACAGCAGGGACCAGGTACTCAAAGGATGGGATTTGAACCAGAGGCAGCCTGGGGAAGGGGACAGCAAGGACACGTTAGGGAGGAAAGAGGGGACAGGGTTGCTCTGGCTGCTGGAGGAGTGAGATATGGGAACCCCAAAGTGGAGGGACATGGGAGAGAGGAGGATGCAGTGATGGTAGGGAGGGGACAGCTGTACAGAGATACCAGGTAAGGGGCTGTTATACAAAAACCAGCCCTTGTGCCCTTCCCACCTCCAGCAAAGCCTGTCCTGCCCCCACCTAGGAGGGGGCAGAGACATGCTCTCCTGTGGTGTCACCCTCCTTCTGGCAATGGCTGCATCCCCTTCATCCCCCTTGCTCACCGGCTCCCCAGGGTGGTCTGCAGCAAGGTGGAGATGCCGCAGGCAAAGAGGCTCCGTGCCAGCAGCTCACTGGTGGCCTGGGGTGGCTCCTCAGGCAGGGTGGGCAGCAGTAGGAGGTGGAAGATGCAGAGCAAGGAGGCCTGCACGGCCAGATGCTGTGTGGGGAAGAGATGGGGTGGTCTCAGCTGCAGCCCCCTGTGCCCAGAACCCCTGTGTGAATGTGTGCTCACTGACACCCCCTGGGCAGCACCCACAACTGCCCACTCTCCTCCCAGCACGCCCTGGCCAAGGCCCCAAGCGTCCTTCTCCTGGCAGGATGTGGCCCCTGCCACCTGTGAGGATCCCAGCCCTCTCCCCATCACTCCATCTCTGTGGCTGCTCACCGTGGTCCTCCCTTACCTGCAGGGCAAAGCAACAGCTCAGCATCCAGGAGCACATCTTCTGCGGGAAGCAGGATGTGAGCGCAGGGCTCCCAGCACCAGGCGCTCCGCGGTGGCCCCCATTCATGCTGCTGCCTCCCCACACGGCTCCCAGTTTACGGCACAGAGGGGGTGGGCAGGCTCCCACTCCCTCAAAGGGCTCCTCACGGCCCACGCACAGCTGAACTTCCACCTTCCACAGGAGCTGCCCCAGGGTTAGCCATTAACTTGAGTTGGTGAGTAACCTGCCCTTGTGGCCAGGAATGCAAGTGTCACCCTGGGTTGTCACCACAAGGGCCAGGTGACAGCCATCCATGGCCAGGACACCGGACGCTGTTACAGTGCCAACTGCCCACAGCTCAAGTCCCACCCCCACCTCTTCTGGTACATGGGGCAGGAACAGAGTTCCTCACAGCATAGACACCTCTTCCTTCATGTGTTTGGAGCATCCCCACCAACAGCACCCCCCAGCTCCAGCATGCCCTGCCCCTGCCTGTTCCTCCCCAGCACGCCTGGTCCAGCCCTTCATCATCACCAGGCCCTGAGGAGACCATGAAAAGCTGCACAAACACCCACCACCACCACCAGGTTCTGTCATTCCCTTCTGTGGGCACAGCACCCACACTAGGAAGGTCTCTGACAGCACATCCCCCATGTTCCTAGGAGGAGGGCACTGAATCCTGCTGCTGGACAAGGATGCCAGGGACAAGAGCTGCCCGCTTGACTGAAAAGGCTCCCAAAGGGAGCACAGGTGGAGATGCTCATGTTTTTGTCACAGGACAGAGGTGGCTGTGCCAGTGACCACAACAGCGACCCTGCCAATCCCTTGCCGCTCAGGGCTCACTCATTAACTGGACAGACTTTGGAGAGCAAAGAGCGGTGGAGACCATGCATTCCCTGCATTCCCAATGATGGGGAACGTCCTCTCTCCCTACCCCTGCCTTACTCAGGCACCAGACTGTCACAAGAGAACCTGTCCCTTGAGCCCTGCAGGACAGGCCTCACTGCTCTTGGGCTCACTTGACAGCTCCAGGATGTGCCTTGCACACCGGCTCCGAGTGCAAGCACTGCCTGGGGTAACCACACAGCTGCATCGATGGGTTCCGCAGTGGGGCACCCAGGGTGCCAGCACGGAGCGGCTCAGCAGGACAAGGCGGGTGCACAGCAAGAACTACTTTTATTGGAAGAGATTAGCATCTACAAAAGAGTGAAAAACAGGTGTAAAATCCACAGTAAAAAGAAGGGGCACAATGAGCTGGGCTGGTCAGCAGGACAAGGTGCCGTCTCCCCGCCCCGAGGAGCAGTCGGGCACCGTTTGCTGGTAGCCACAGGCAGCTGGGGTTTGGGATGGCATCACAGAGCACCCCCAGTTCCAAAGCACCCAACACAAGCAGGATAAGGAAGCTCAGCCTTAACCACACCTTACCACCACCCACAAGCCCAGCGGGGCACCACCTTTCCCCAGAGCACAGCCACATCTGGGCCCCCTCTTGTTGCGACCCTCCCCGCCTCCCAAGAAGTAGCCTGGCACTCCCCAAGGGGAATCACTGCCATGGCCAACCAGTTTGGGATGCTCGCTCCCCCCTCCTTCGACCTTCTCTCCCCTCACCCAGGCACCCCACCTCCTCCTGGAGCACCCTGCCCCACCACTGGGCTCAATGCCCCAGCCCCTCCACCCTTCACACACAGCCCCAGCACCTACATCCCACACACCACCTCTGCCCAGCACCACCAAGGGCACCACCCACACGCTGCAGGAAGAGATTCAAGCCCCTTTCCCTAGCACCCCAGCCCAAGGGCACCCCATATCTACCCTCCAGCTAGTAGATCCCCACCCCAGCACCCCAACAGCAAGCAAACTCTGCCCCAACTTGTCCCAGCAGTCCCCAAAGTGAAGACACCTCTGCCCTGGGTGGGTAGACACAAATGCTGGTTTGGAAGTAACACAGAGGCCTTCAGCCCCGCACAGCCCCAGGGATCAGGGGGTCCCAGAAGTGCAAGGAAGTGAGTTGTGCCACACTAGGAGGGAAAGGGAAAGGGGCCACCGCCCCACGCTCCTAGCTGGGAAAAATGAAGCTCTTGATTCTACTGAGATCCATGGCAGTGTGCAAGGAACACCGCCTCAGCCCTAGGGGGTCCAGCCAGTCCTTGCGGGTGGGGGCTCCATCCCACGTGGGGCCTGCACCAGCAGAGCAGGTTTGGCAGTGGAGCGCCGGAGGAGATCGGAGCACGGCGAGTCCGAAGGGGCCAGGCTGGGCAGGGGCTGTGGCAGGGGCAGTACGGTTAGATCTCTCACAAGCGGTGGGTACTCTCCGGAAATGGCTCTGAGGGGGGCTCCTGTGTTGGGCTAGATCAGGCGCCTTTGGGTAGGACAGAGCCGTCATCACGCTGCCCCACAGGTAGAGCGCAGTGGCCGTGACACCTCCGCGACGCGGCTCCTCAGTCGTCTTGTTCTCCTGCAGGCAACGGGTGCTGCTGGCCGGGGAGACATCGGGCAGCTCGGGCTGGGGCTGGTCAGGGGCTGGCTGGGCGTCCAGTTGGCAACTGGCCTCCTCGGGGAACAGCGCAGGCCGGGGGGCGGCGGGGCTGACGCTCCGCATGCACACGGAGCGGTGCACCACGGTGACCGAGGCAAAGACAGCGGCAAAGCCGGTCAGGTACATCACACCCAGGAGGCAGGCCAGCTGCAGAGAAACCAACGGTTAGCCCAGAACCCCCTCAGCGTGGTACTGCGTTGACCCAGCAGCCATGATGGCAATCAGGACCACCAGCACTGCTAGTCACACTACACCAGCGGGTAGCACACAACCTGTTCAAAGCAGGGCCTAAATACCCAAAACAAAAAAGCCCCAGCTAAAACCTTATGGTTGCTGTTTAAATCCCCAACCAGCACCCAGCTGCCTCCATGCCACCACCATGACCTTGTACCATGACCTGTGTGGGGCTGTGGGTCCCAGCACAGGGCACAGAATAACCCAGCCCCAGGCTGCAGTGCCACAGGCAGCCCAGCCCCGGATCAGCATTTTCTGACTGCTTCCCTTTTCAACAGGGAATAAACTAAACTGCTACTCCCAGTGGAAAAAAAAACAGGACCTGATCCAAACCCATGGTCTGCTGGGCCCCACGTTCTTGCAAGGAGCTGCTGCCATGCCCTTACCTTCACCACTTGCTGGTAGAATTGGCCCAACACATGCTGCCACATGGACTGCTCCATGAGGACACAGAGATCTGTGTAGGTGAACCAACCACGCCACATGCCCTGCTTTTCTGCCACGCTGCAAGAGAAAAAGAAAAGAGAATGGTGGATGTGACATGGACCTTCTCCACTGAAGAAGCTTCAACGCAGGCAGGCTTAGAGAAGACCCTGCTCAAGGTCCACCCCTGGACCTTGCCCCACCCCTGGAAGTGTTCAAGGCCAGGCTGGATGGGGCTTTGAGCAACCTGGTCTAGTGAGAGATATCCCTGCCCATGGCAGGGGGCTTGGAACTCGGTGATCTCTAAGGTCCCTTCCAACTCTAACCCCTATATGATTCTAAGGCCAATGGAAGGGAGGTGCAGAGCCTAGTGAAGGCTCATGGGTACTCCAACCTCTGATTTAACTGGAGCAGGGCCAGCTCTCAGCAGGGGCAGAACCAGGGCTGCTGGATGGATGAAAGGCTCATTCCCCACCCCACACACCTACCGTCCTTCCAGCCAGCTGAGCACTTCAAACAGCTCCCGGGGGTCTGTATAGAGACTCCAGTCCTGTGGGGACAGCAGAGAAAGGTCAGTGCAGTCAGGGCAAGCCACCCAGCACTCACACACATCCTTCTCCATTCCTTTATGGGAGTACGTTGGGGAAAAAGAGAAATCCAGACTCCCCTTAATGCCCCCCTCCCCTGCTCTGTGAAGCAGTTGGCCACGGTGCGGCCCCACTTACAATGGCGCTCAGGAAGTTCATCTCCAGTGTGTTCATGGTCTGGACATCCACCTTCCCTGCTGCTCCCCACTCATCATTGAACACTTCCTCCTCTTCACCTTCATCATACAGGTACTTACTAGCAACCATCTGAAAGCAGCAGAAAGGACAGGATCTCAGCCTCCCCTGCATTCCTCCAGGCTTCCCTCCATCCCAGTGACCTCCCAGCCCACACCGCTCACCATGGAGATCAGGAAAAGGTCTGAAGATGAGATTTGCTGAAGGTATTCGGGGTTCCGGTGCCGAAGTCTCTCAATGTAAACCAGTGCCAGCATCATGGAGCAAGGAGAGATGCAAGCTTCCCTGTGGGACAAGGAAAGAGTCAACCCGAGCTACAAACATGCCAGCCACCACAGCACAGCTTGCCTGCTCCCTCCCCATGTAGGTAGCAGGGACATTTAATAAATAGACTGCTAGTTATGTCCCAGCCTTGCCAGCTCTACCCCAGCTGTTCCGAGCTGCAGCAAGAGAAATCACAGGGGACAGAGGGCAGAAAGCCCTGGCTCCTGTTCCCAGGCACAGTTAGTTCCAAACTGAGCAGTGCTGCCTGCAGCCAGAGGTATTGCAAGGGCTCAGCTGCCAAGAGCAGAACCAGGGTTCAGAGCTTCCCAGTGAGCTGCAGCTCCGGCCAGTACAGACTCCGTACCCCTTCACCCCAGAAAGCAGGGCCAACCTGAAGCAGGCCTGGCTGTGTCAGCAAGCTGCTGTGCCTGCTGGCTTTGCCACCTGTCTCCAGGTCCTCTTTGACATTAATCAGGCCTAAGCACGAAGCCAGCGCTGCCCCAGGGGACAGCGGTGAGTCACAGGCGAGACCACAGCTCCCAGTTCTGACACACAACATGAAGGGATATATTTTGCTTCTTACCGAGATACATGAGACACGTATGTCTTCTGGAGTCTGCGGATAGGGCTGGGAGCCACTTTCTGCAGCAACTCCACCGCAATATCTAGGAGAGAAGGGCAGAAAAAGGGCTTATAGCCCCACGTGGAACAGTCCACCCCCACCCTTCCCTTTCTTCCCACAAGCCCATTGAGTCTTAATGTTTGCTCAGCCTCCTCTCAAGTTGAATTGAAATTATGAATGTAGGGCAGGCCTTATCAGGAGGGAGGGACAAACAAATAGGCAGGAGAACCAGACCAAAGCAGGAAGAGGATGTGAGTGTCCAAGGCCCAGCGGCAGTGCCAGATCCAGATTAGCACATCTGCGTCACGGGGAGTTACCAGCAGTGAGCTGCATAAAGAGGCTAACACCCTCCCCTCACCCCACAGGACCTCAGGCAGCCCTTTTGGAGGTTTTCTAGGACCTGATGTCAACACCAGGTCTTCCCAGTCCTTTGCTCCCCTCCAACCAGCATCATATTCCTCTTCCAGAGCTGGTCAGCACTGAGCAGCTTCCCCCCACCTCAACCCCTGTGCCCCTGAAATGATGATGGACAATGTATTCATGAGAGCAGGAGCCCAAAGGCACTAACAGGGCACAGAAGCAGCCGTAACAGCAGCTCCCCATCTCAGCCCATTTACCCTCCACCTATAGACATGCCTCAGCATTCAAGCAATGAAAGGCCAGAGCCTGACAGATGGCTTCAGCAGCTCCCATCTCACTTCTCAACACAACAGGACCAGCTGGGAGCACCCCAAACAGCACTACAGTCTGGTGCTTGGCAAGAAATGTTTGACAGGCAACTCCAGCTCCATTTTGCTGCTAAGCCCTTGGCTGATAGAGCCAAAGGCAGAGCTCATCCCAGCAGCCTCACATTTGCAGTTCCCAGGGGAAGCATCAGCACACAACCTCTTCTCTCTACGTCCCTCCTTTCCATGTCTCTACAGCAACTAAGAGAACGGCTGCAATCCCACAGGACTTCTTTGCCTGACAGCAGCCACCAAGCTCAGACACATGCTGCTCTACGGGAACTCCCCAGGTCATTCAAGCCACACCACTGCTGGGATCTGCAGACAGACAGACACAGCTCCAGCCACCCGTTGAACAGCTCCCAGCCTCTTGCACTGCTGCTGCTCTCTCCGCCTCACTCAGCCACCCTCGTTCCACCACACCAGCCACCGCAGAGGCAGCAGCGATGCCCTGAGGGTTGGGAAGTGCATAAGCCCCCCCCAGGTTCTGATCTAACGTGAAACCTAATTTTCCAGCCCACAAATCCACCCCATGACAGCGTACCCTGTGCTAGAGGACATGGAGAGCAGCTGATAGCTGTCCTCATCTCACAGGCACAGCGTGCTGAGGGTGGCTATGGCTCTTCCTTTCCGCAAGGAACAAATTCGCTTTTCAACCCCTCTCCTCAGAGAGCCCCATACTACCTCCCGTGACTGCCCCCCAATGCCAAAAACCTTTTCCAGCTCCTCCTGCTACCTTGGACTCTCCCCACAATTGCCTCTATCTCATTTGAAGAGCAGTGCCATAAACCTGCCACATAGCAACAGCACAGCTGTACCAAGAAAGATGTGATAGCCCTAGGTCCCGTTTTTTTGACAGCAGCTGATAGCAGCTGGTGAAGGGAAGGCTGTAAGAGCAGATAAGCTCACAGAGATATTCTCTGTATGTTGCTCCCGCCCCCAGCGGTTGCAGCAAAGGCATTTCCTGGGTACAAGGCATTCTTTATAGTTAACCGCCCTCAACAGGCTCTCCTTGCACGAATGTGCCCTTTGAACTTTCAACACTGGTAGTGTCCTGTGGAACAGTCTCATCTCGCACCCACGTGTGAGCCAGCCCCAACAGGGAGCCACGTGCCTTCCTCACACCACTTGTGTCAGAATTTGTGACCCTCAGCAGTGCCCGTGCAGCCGGCTGCCCTGCCTGGCCCTGCTGGTTCAGCATCCCCCTCCTCGCTGAAGTACATCATGTGGAGCCTCTTGGTGACTTCAGGTCATTTCCCCAAATATATCACAAGAGTTTTGAATGCAAGCATGCTTCCCCACCTGCTCAATATCTCCTGCAAGCTGTGTCAGCATGCAGCTAACGTAACCACCAATGCAATCCCACTGTGAAGGCCCTCCAGCAAACCACTACTTGCCCTAGACTGCTCCTCTCCAGCATCACCTGCACTAGCTCCTCACCCCAGCTGCATCCTTCTGCTCCCACAAAACAGTGCTGAATCAATGGGGAAAAAAAGGATGTGATCCAGACAAACACACAACACAAACTTGTCCCCTTGGGGCCTACAACTAGAAGTTAAATGAACTCTCCAGTACCTTACAGAGTACAAGAAGTTATCCAAGACACCTCTCATCAAGAACAAGGACTCAGCCTTCACCGCCAAGGAATTCACAAGCAACCTAAAGGGCTCTGCACACCAGCAAGGTGCCAAAAATGCAGCAGTGGGCCAGACAGGGCAATAAAACAGAGAGCAGGAGCCATGAGGCTCTGGCACCCTGCCTGCTGTGCTGCACACAGCAAGGAAAGCTGGGCAGGGGTGGGATTTGGCGCTGGGGAGGGAGCGGGTGACTTGTTGGTCTCAGCCCCTGGGCCACTTCCAACCCCCTTGACTCAGCATTCCCATTTGGGGCCACTCGGTAACCCACCTGCCACAGGGCTGGAGAGATTATCCAGGCTGCAGTCTTTGTCCCAGCCATAATACAGCCGCTTCCGCACCCTCTCGCTCAGCTGCTGGTGCCTGGGCAGGAACTGCAGGCAGACAAGGGGAATGTGAGAAAGGCCCCAAATCCTCCCCCATATGGAGCTCCCCACCTCAATCTGGTTTATGACGGGCCCCAAGAGCTCAGCCAGGGGCCCGGGTGTGCGGCCACACGGGGCTCCTCGGGGCAACGGCGTAAGGAGGGAACGCCCCAAGGGCCTGCCGGGGCGTGGGGCTGGGGACAGGCTGGGCTGGGGACACCGGGCCACGACCTGGGGGTTGGGGGAGAGGGGGAGCACTCACCGTGAACTCCTGGAAGCCGCTGAGGGAGAACGTACCCTCCTCGTCCAGCAACAGCCCGTCAAGCTCCATCCCTCCCGCCCCCGGGGGCAGGGGATGCCGAGTCCCCTCCGGGGGTGCTAGGCCGGCTCCTAGGCCGCGTCCCCCTCAGGCTGCGAGGGCCCGCTCCGAGGGCGTACAGCCAGTCCCCCTCCGGGGTACCGGGCCGCTCCGAGGCCGCGTCCGGACCCGGTGACCGGAGTCAAAGGCAGCGGAGCCACTAACTAGGCCGAGCCCCGCCGTCCGCCTTCCTCTTCCGGTGCAGGGCGGGCGGGGCGGG